CCCCTAGATCGCCCCTTGAAATTTTGATTGGCTGACTGATGGCCGGAGGTTATCGGCAGCTTGTGTAACCTTGACGGCCGCTCCTGTTTGATAATACCCCATATGACCAGTGTTGGAAATTCAAAAAAATTTCTATGTTCACAAATATGATTTTTTATGTTCACAATAGGAAAAACTTTAGTTTTTTAAAAAAATATATGTTCACGTGAACACTGTGAACATACAATTTCCAACACTGCATATGACCCATCCGTGGGTGACCCTGGTAGCACCTACCCGGGTCCAATCACTAGGCTAATTTCCCTTTTTGGATTTGTATCACTCGCACAAATAAGTGCACGCGCTTTAGACAATCCCCTATTTTGGAACGTAAATTCTATAAATTTGTTTTTGTTGCGATAATCATTTTTTCTCTAATACTTTTTTAATAAACGAAAGGTCAATATTATGGTTTTTTTTTTATTTTTTTAAGTTACATAATATTGATGATTAAAAGAAATACTAGTTTATAGTTAAAACTCTTTTCAACCACTTTAGCTTAAATAGTTCTCAGTTTTTTTTTGTTTGTATACTATCAACTATTTAAGTTAACTTGGTTTTCAATGTTTTATAACATTTGGTTTTTTTTTTTTGCTGGCCTGTTCTTTTTTGTTTTAACTTATGAGATATTATTAGTGTTTTTTTTTTATTTTCTTATAAAATTATAACAAAACTAACAGAATAACAATGTCTTTATTAGAAAATATCGATGAAGTAATTGAAAAAAATCTTGACATCCAAAGTTAGTTGTTAAAAATAAGAAGAGGAATAAACGAGACGCAAACTCCCGAATGTCAATCATGTGATAATCTAAAGCTCAAAACGAAAAAATCAAGCTCTTAGTTATATGCAGAAAAACCAAAGCTTATATTAAAGTAACGATTTGCTGTCACAAGAATGGATCAGATGCCACGAATACGAATCGGGTGAAGGTAAAACAAAAAAAATTCGAAAGTTCAAGCTTTACTTTATATGCCGTCAAAGTGCTAATCTATTTTATTTATAACTTATTTATTATTCTAAAGACAGTCACGTACTGCCATGAAGCAATGAAAATATAAGCTTGCGAACTTGTAAGAGATTAAAACATAGTGCATAGTGTTACTAGTTTTTTTAACATAGTGCGTAGTTACTAGTTTTGTATTAATTAACTGTTATTATATACAATTAAAATTTGTATTGTCTTTTTATAATAAATGTTTCATTTTTTTTTCATGTTTATTTATTATTTTTATTTTAATTTGTGTAATAGTATTTTTTTTTAAATAAGATCTTGGATTATATGATATCGGGATTATGATCTTAGACTCTGAGTTGTTAAATTTCATAGTAATGTATTTATTAACACAAATTAATTATATACAGTATTGAATATTTAGTCGTTACGGTATTAGTTTATATAAAATATTGCTTTGCGAATAATTTGATTAACCAATGATATTTTTGCAATATCACAGGATGATCTACAAAAATCAGCCAATTACAATGAAAGCCCGCTATGCTTTTCAGCGTACATTACATAGAAATCATACAAGTTAAGTTTACTGTTAACTATAAATATTTGAGTTGCAAAATCAAAAAATAAACTTTTGTAGTTTTTCTTGATCAAAAAAATTTTTTTTTATTATATTTCGATGTCAGAAAAGCTTGCTGCGAAATAAATAACCATAGATCATTGTGGATCGAAATTAATTTAATCTGACGAAAAACTAACAAATTGGTCTAACGAGTTGTTTGCACATATTCCGGATAATAAAAGACAATAATGCACATGATAAAAATAAGATACAGGGGGGTGACAAAAATATTTCCACACCTAAGGACTTGGCTTATAACTCAAAAACTTACTAATTAACTTATGTCCTTGATTTGACTATAGTAATCCTTACTCCTTGAGGATTATTTCATATCATTTTTAGATCACATGCTTGCATAATTAACAAGTTATTTAACTTTACTTTTAGGGTTTTGATAAATTCTGTAAGTATCTGTGTTTCTGTGTAAATATTTCAATAACTATTAGTCCAATTTTAATGAAATTTTACCAGCTTATAGAGGAACCTTTTCTCTGCCCACTGTAAAAATTTGATCAAATTTTAATCAATAATCAGGCAAGAAATTAATAAAAACAAAAATTTTATAGGTCAAACTTCTAAGCTAATTTTCTCAATGATTATTAGTCTAAAGTTAATAATTTTTATTTTTTCTAATATATATGCACTCCCTCTACAACATAAAAAAAATTTGGCTAAATCTAATTACTAGTTGTAGAGATAAGTCAAATAATCTATTATAATATGTCAAATTTTAATCATCATCGTATATCTCGATTATCTCGGCAACCAGTTATGGACTTGCTAATTTTTTTTTTTTATTCCGTAGAAGAGATGTAAGACTTTAAAATAAAAAAAAATTTGCTCGATTCTAATCACTGGAAGTCGAGATAATCGAGGTTAAAGTTCGCCATTAAATTGGTAATGATTTTCGTCGGCGATTGTCACGATTATCACGTGACATAATCGTTAAGGCATACTCAATTCACTTACACGTACTTTCTAACCCCATAGTCTTTTATTAAATGTCTTTATTATTATTTTTTTTCTTTGTATCCGGCTAGACTAAAGAAAATGCGGATTCCAGTTAATTTTAATGCCACGTTAGTGTTCTGGCCCGGGTGGTCAACCTGTAGTAGGTTAACTACATCAATGTCATGTATTTATTCTCAATAAAGATATTATTAACTTGATTCCAGCCTATATATTCGGCTTGTAAAAACTAATAAATAATAGAATCGAATGAGTTAGTATTTAATATATTAAAGTAGAATAGAAATAATTTAATTTTATAATAAATAATTTAATTTAGTAAGTGCGAAATAACTTAGATAGTAGTATATATTTTAAATTATAGATAAATTAAACAAACTTTTTAGTAGTACGTATGTTAAAGTGCAATAAATAGTACACATATATTAAATATAGAAATATAAAATAAATAAAGAATAAAGCTGAAATTTTAGTTCCTACTTGGCTGTTTTCTCATATATGCTTATTTCAGTTTGTGATGAAATGATTCAAGAAAATCTACTGAAAAAAGAGCTTCTGAAGTATTTTTTTATTCGACTAGAAAACTAGTATTAATAGTAAGAATAAATATTTAAATAAACTTTTAACTTGAAAGATGAAATATTTAAATAAACTTTTAACTTTTACGGAAATAACAATTACAAACCAATTATTCGAATCGATCCTTTTTTACATTAATCCGATCAGTGATTTATTTCATTCAATAACCAAAAATTGTATTCGACCAGGAACTTGGGGGAATTAGTAAACCCAAAATTCTCACTGCAACATACATTAAAAATGATGCAGATCCGATCACTAGATCACGAGAGTTTTGATTGTAAAAATTGTACATACGAAGTTCTTTTTCTTAGATGAATGCATCATATAATTAATTATTTATTTTTTTCTCCTCTCTTTTATAATAGAAATGGAACGTTAACTACTAAATCGAATTTATTTAACCAAATTAGCAACACAACTAAAATCTCTAGGCTAAATTTAACTTGAAGTAATTCGTTATAATATAGTTACCACATTAAAAATAGTTTGTCATTTTATATGTTCGTTTCATTTTCCCCATCCTCCCTCTTCCAAGAGTCGTGAGAAGTGATGTTAGCCGAAAATTTAACTTCAAACGGCCTAAATCAAACATTAATCAGGGTCGCTGATGAAAATCTGAATTTACTGCAGATAATATCAACTTTCGGTACGCTTTTCTCTTGAACTAGTATAATAATTAATTTCTAATTTTTTTTAAAAAACATTAATGTATACAATTTGCTCTATTTTTTTAAAAAAAAATTAGACATTAATTATTATACTAGCTTAAGAGAAAAGCATACCGAAAGTAACATTATCCGCAGTAAATTCGGATTTGCGGCCCTGGTTAATGTTTGATTTATTAGTATTTCACCTAATGACGCATGCATAATACAAATTTTTATTGCGTGTTTATGCTGTAATTATTTGGTAAGTTTTTTTTTTTTTTTTTTGAACCGAGCTAAATAAATTATCAAAATTGTTATTAATTAGAAATTTGGAATAAAATATATTTCGTTAAAGCACTTATAGCTTTAAATCATGACACTTTCAGAAAGGAAACGTGGAGAAATTATATCTGCGCGAAAGTTAGGCAAGTCATATAGACAAATTGCCAAACTTGTTGGTTGTGATCCCAAGACAGTTGGAAATGTGCTTAACCGACTTGAAAACCCATCTCAAGTATTGCCGGATCGTCGAGGAAGACCACCAATCTTAGACGAATCGGCACAAGATCGTCTAACGCAGCTTGTCTTAAGCGATCGGCATATGATTAAAAGACAAATTCAAGCTGCATTGGAACAGCAAGAGGGCAAAGTAATAATATTTTTAATTTGTTTTTTTTTTTTTAATTTATTTATTTTTTTTATTTAGTTCGATTTTTTTTTTTAATTTATTTATTTTTTTTATTTGGTTCGATTTTTTTAAAAATTTTATGTTTTAGTTAATTTCTCAAAGAACTATTAGCCGTAATCTTCGCAAAGCTAACCTGGTCTCACGTGTTGCTCGCATAAAGCCTTTTATTAGTGATAAGACTAAAAAAGAGCGTAAAGATTGGGCAGAAAAGCATCTTAATTAGACGACTAAAGACTGGAAAAATGTTCTCTGGTCAGATGAAAAGTATTTTACTTTAATCCATTCTAATCCATATCAGCACGTATGGAGGAGGCCAGGCGAAGAATTTAATGACGATTGCCTTGTTCCAGCAATCAAGTCTAAAGGGATTATGATGTG